CCTTCCCTTCCCTTCCCTTCCCTTCCCTTCCCTTCCCTTCCCTTCCCTTCCCACCTCTTTTTGTCCCCCCACGAGCCTTTCAGGTGGGACAGAGGTGACCGAGTGACTCTCCCCCCTGTCGCAGGGTCTGCCGGGCATCGATGGCAAGGATGGCACCCCGGGTATCCCGGGGGTGAAGGTGAGCAGGGGCAGGTGCTGCCTGTGCTGGCACAGGGCACGGACACACCCTGTTCCTCGTGCTGGGAATAACAGGGATGGCAGGTGGGATAAGCTCCCAGCCCCTGGCTCCACTGCTGGCTGGTGGAGCGTGGCAGTGCCCCCCCTTTGCCCCACCCGTGACATCCTCTGTGCCCCTCCCAGGGCAGTGTGGGACAGGCCGGACGCCCGGGAACGCCGGGACACCGGGGACAAGCTGTGAGTGTTGTGGGGACCCCCCAAACTGGGCTGGCATCCCCTCACCCGTGGGGTGACACCCCTATCCCGGGTGGTGCCAGGGCCAGCGCCCAGCAGGGACACTGCTGGCAGTGCTGTGCCCAGGGTTTGAGCCCAGCTTGGTTTCCCCAGGGCTTGCCAGGCCAGCCGGGAAGCAAAGGTGGCCCAGGAGACAAGGTGGGTGACCCCCCCCCAGCACCCACCCCGTGACCCCACAGCTGCTGTGCCCTCAGACTTGTGCCCTCCCCACCCCTGCTGTCCCTGAGCCACCTCTGTCTCCCCACAGGGTGAAGTGGGTGCCCGTGGCCAGCCCGGTGTCACCGGTGCCCCAGGGCAGCTTGTAAGTACAGAATGTCACCGTGGCCCCCCCGGGCACAGCCTGAGGGCTGCTCTCTCTCTCTTTTTCTCTCCCTCTCTCTCTTTTCCCTGTTTCCTGTCAAACCAAAAGCATTACTGGGCAGTTTTATGCCCCCTCTGCCCCTCACTGCTCCAGCCCTGTGTCCATCACCTCCTCGGCCACCAGTGGCTGCAGGGGACAAGGACACGTCCCTGGGGAAGGATGTGATGCCCAGGGATGCCCGAGAAGTGCCCTGGGTGTTTGTGTCTCTGTTTCAGGGGGAGCCTGGCCCTCGGGGTGAGCAGGGCCCAGAGGGTGTCCCTGGGCTGAAGGTGAGTGGGGGGCACTGGGGGGGGGATGCTCTGGCTGTGCCAGGAGCTGCCCCTGACTGTGCCCTTCTCCTGGGTGTCCACAGGGTGACCGGGGCGAGCGTGGACCCGTGGGGCCCCCGGGGGAGCAGGGCAGAGTGGTGAGTTGTGCCCATGGCAGGGCTGGGCACTGGGGAGGGGCTCAGCCCGGGGGTCTGGGGATGCTGAGCCCTGAGGGGTCAGTGGGACACAGCTGGGACACAGCTGGAGCTCGCCTTTGATCCAGCCTGGGCTCAAGCCCGTGCCCATCCCGCTGGGTCTGGCTGCCCCAGGGGGAGGGATTAACCCGGGGCAAACAGCTCAGGGATTAGTGGCGCTGGGACCACGCTGGGTTTGCAGCCCCAGCAGGGACAGGAATTTCCTCCCAGCCCAGCGAGGGGAGGGAGGCTGTCCCAGCCCTCTGGGAGGCTTTCCCAGGGCAGAAAAATGGCCACAAACTTACCTTTTTTTCCGTTTTCCTGGGGACAGGATCCCATCCCTGGATGATTCTCCCTCTTGGCACAGCCTGGGGGGAGGCTCCTTCATCATTCTCTGCCCTGTTCCCCCTCAGAACCTGGATTCAGGGGAGGTTGGGATGCTGGGGGGGCAGCCAGAGCCGCTGGAGGGAACTGGGAGCTGCTCATGCAACCCATGGCCTTGGGGAGGATGCTCTGATGGGGGAGGAAGGTCTTTCCTTTGCCTCTTCTCACTCATTTTTCCCTTTTTCCCCACGTTCCCTTGATTCCCAGGGGCCAAAGGGTGAGCAGGGCCATCCGGGGATCCCGGGACCCCAAGGCTTGCCAGGAGTCAAAGGAGACAAGGTGAGTGCTCTGCCTGCTCAGGGCAGAGCTGGGGCTCAGGGAACGTGCCCTGAGCTGGGCTGAACCCCCTCTCCTTTCTCCAGGGCTCCCCAGGGAAAACTGGCCCCAAAGGCAGCGTTGTGAGTACATCCCCCCTGCCTGGGCTGAGCCCCTGTTTGACAGGGCTGGCTCCAAGCACCTTCCCCACAATTCCCTCACGTCCCCACGGAACTCACCGTGTCCAAAGGGGGGTTCTCCTGCAGAGGGGGTGGCTCCTGGTGGGGAAGGTTCATCTCTGCTGTTGCTTTTCCTTTAGGGAGACCCCGGTGTCCACGGCCTCGCGGGGCTGAAGGGAGAGAAGGTGGGTCCTGGCAGAGGGTTCCTGGTGTGGGGTGGGGGGACGTGGGTGGATGTGGGTCCCTGTCCCTGTGGGGTCTCCTGCCCAGCATGTTCCCACAGCAGCACACCCCAGGGGGGTCCACGTGCATCCCCCCCAGCTGCCTCTCCAGGGTCCTGCTCCCTCCCCATCATCTTTCCTGTGTCCTCTGTCCCCACAGGGTGAATCCGGAGAGCCGGGGCCAAAGGGACAGGTGAGTCCTGGGGGGTTTGGGGACCAAAGGGACAGGTGAGTCCCAGGGGGTTTGGGGACCAAAGAGACAGGTGAGTCCCGGGGGGTTTGGGGACCAAAGGGACAGGTGAGTCCCGGGAGGATCTGGGGGGCTCGGAGGGACCCTCAGCCCCAGCTGATCCTCCTGCTGCTCCCTGGAGCTGCCTCGTGCTGCACACGGGTGGCCTGAGGGAGTATTTTCCCTGGACTGGGCTGCAGTGACCACGCTCAGCCCTGGATCCGGGCTCAGCCCCTGCCTGCAGGGCTTGATATGGGGGATCTTTGGGGTCTCGGGGTGCAGCCCCTGTACCCAGGATGGGGCTGAGCTCCTGAGGCTTCTCTCCCTCCCTTGCAGCAAGGCATCCAGGGCGACCTGGGCTTCCCTGGCCCCTCAGGGGACGCAGGAGCACCAGGGGTGAGGGGCTACCCCGGCCCCCCCGGCCCACGGGGGCTGCTGGGGGAGCGTGGAGTGCCAGGGATGCCCGGCCAGAGGGGCCTAGCAGTGAGTACCCCCTGCCCCACACCCCCCTCACCTCCTGCCACCACCAGCTCCTCCACTCCTGCAGGGGAATTGGCCTCTGAGCCTCTTCTTCCCACCCGATTCCTCTGGGAAGTGGCCACTGTTCCACTCAGGGGCTGCCTGATTGATATATTGATATATTTATAATGTAAAATAATATAATATTTATAGTATTATTATATATAATTATACACATTATATATATAATAATTATATACAATCATACACATTATATATATAATAATTATATATTATATAATATATAATAATTGTATACTATATTTAATTATGATATATAATTATATTATTATATATAATTGCTATATATTATCTATTATATATAATAGATATAATTATTTTATATTGTATATTCTATATATTCTATATAATTATTATATATAATTATATAATTATATATAATTACTATATGCTATATATTCTATATATTATATATAATTATTATATATTGTATGTTATATATTATATATTATTATTCTAAATATTTGCAATATTTATAATAAAATAATATAACGTTTATGATATTTATAATGCAGAATAAATATTGATATGTTTATAATATAAAACTATCATCATGATCATGATCATCATAATTATATATATATTAATAATATATATAAATATATATAAACCATCCAGCAGCGGGTTTAGCTCCAACGTGGCCTTTGCAGCCCTCCTGGGGTTGGGATTTTTCCCATATAAACCTCATTTTAGGCTCAAAAACGTGGCTGTAGGAAGTTAATGCCACGAGCAGCATGCACGGTGTGAGCTGAGCCTGGAGCACTGGGACTGGGACAGGATGGAAAAGAGAAGGGTGGGAGGGTGCCATGGGGTGCAGGGGGGTGCTCAGGACCAGGGGATTGGGGTGGGAGTGGCTGTGGGGGAGCAGGGGGGGACAGAAGGAGCCATGTCCCTTCATGGCCTGTCCCTCCTGTGCCCTGGCAGGGCCGGGACGCCGGGGACCAGCACATTGTCGACGTGGTGCTGAAGATGCTGCAAGGTGAGGGGTGAGCAGGGCACTGCCAGGCAGGTGGCAGCCAGCCCAGCCCAGCCACCCCACCCCACCCCATCCCATCCCATCCCATCCCATCTCACCCCACCCCACCCATCCCACTCCATCGCACCCCACCCCACCCCATCCCATCCCACCCATCCCATCCCACCCATCCCATTCCATCCCACCCATCCTACCCCACCCCATCCCATCCCACCCATTCCATTCCACCCCATCCCATCTCACCCATCCCATTCCATCCCATCCCATTTCATTCCATCCCACCCCATCCCATCCCATCCCATCCCATCCCACCCATCCTACCCCACCCCATCCCATCCCACCCATTCCATTCCACCCCATCCC